CCCCTTTTCCCGAAACAAGCCAGGATGCCATTGGCTGCCTTGGCCACCTGGGCACCCTGCTGGCTCATATTCAGCCGGCCATCAACCAGCACCCCCAGGTCCTTTTCTGCTGGGCAGCTTTCCAGCCACTCTTCCCCAAGCTTGTAGCGCTGCGTGGGGTTGTTGTGGCTGAGGTGCAGGACCCAGCACTTGGCCTTGTTGAACCTCATACAGTTGGCCTCAGCCCATCGATCCAGCCTGTCCAGATCCCTCTGCAGAGCCTTCCTACCCTCGAGCAGATCAACACTCCCACCCAATTTGGTGTCATCTGCAAACTTACCACGGGTGCACTTGATCCCCTCGTCCAGATCGTTTATAAAAATATTAAACCACACCAGCCCTAGAACTGAGCCCTGGGGGACACCACTTGTGACCAGCCCCCAACTGGATTTAACTCTGTTCACCACAACTCTCTGGGCTCAGCCATCCAGCCAGTTTTTCACCCAGTGAAGAGTACACCTGTCTAGGCCATAACCCGCCAGCTTCTCTAGGAGAACGTTGTGGGAGACAGTGTCAAAGGCTTTACTAAAGTCCAGGTAGACAACATCCACAGCCTTTTCCTCATCCACAAGGTGGGTCACCTGGTCATAGAAAGAGATGAGGTTGGCCAAGCAGGACCTGTCTTTCATTGACCCATGCTGGCTGGGTCTGATCCCCTAGTTGTCCTGCGCATGCCTGGTGAGTACACTCAAGATGAATCGCTCCATAATCTTCCCCAGTACTGAGGTCAGGCTGACAGGCCTGTCATTCCCCAGATGCTCCTTCCAGCCCTTCTTGTAAATGGGTGTCACATTGCCCATCACCACAAAACCACATAGTGGTTTTGCTGACCCCCCTCCTTACTTTCCCAAGAATTGAGAACTCTCATCATTTTGTGGTCACTAAACCCAAGATGGCCTCCGACCACCACCTCTCCCATCAGTCCTCTGTTTGTAAAGAGCGGGTCAGGCGAGGCACCTCCCCTAGTTGGCTTGCTCACCAGCTGTGTCAGGAAGTTATCTTCCACACACTCCAGGAATCTCCTAGACTGTTTCTTCTCTGCTGTGTTGTATTTCCAGCAGATGTCTGGTAAGTTGAAGTCCCTCACGAGAACAAGGGTTAGTGATTTCTCGATCTTTGCATCTTCATTGTTTCTGTAAGCAAGAGCGTATTCTAGTGTCTACATTACTCCTTCTGTCACTGAAATTATCTGCTCTCTCTTGCCTTTTTAGATCTCCAAGTGTGACTTGGGCTGTTAAGCTATAATTCTGTGGGAATAAGTCTGATTTTTTTATAATTTCAATTTTAGATGTTTTAGAGAATGCAAAACATATATTGGACATTGATGCAGTCTGAGTAATAATTTTATGCTAATTGGGAAAATGCAAGCATTTTCCAGGCATTTACGGGAAGTCTGCCTCATGCTTGTCTTTTGAAAGAAATACAAAACTAATTGTTTAAAAATCTTAATTTTAGAGCTCAAAATTGGTTACATCAAATGTGATAAGAGATTTCTTAATACCGTATTACTAATTCCCAGCTATTCTTCTACTCCAGTCCTACTCAACTGTGCACATTTTGGTTTGAAACTTCTGAGTCTGTCTGCTGTGATTTTCAAATCCCTACTCATAAAAAATATCAGAGTTACAGATTCACAGCAGAATATTATATCACTTTGGGTTTGTGGTATTAGTTACATTAACAATGGATATTAATTATTAAAGAAGTTGAAGAGTGATAAAAACTTACTATTTCATTGATGCAAAATTAGTGAAATACTTGGGTCTTTCTCATCAGTGCTTTTTGAAATGAAACTCCTGTGTCAGCAGCATTGGAGGCTGGCATTAACTCTTGCGGATTTGAAGCCTGATTTAACCATAGTTAAACACCACTACAGTCCTGGTTTTGTGGTGTGGGTAGGGCATAAAGGCTTTTAAAAGTCTCCAAGAGCTTTTCTGGCCTTCTGATGTTAGAAAATGATTATTGTCATAGAGTGGAGGGAAGACGCCTGTAGGGCACCTAATATACTAGTTGCAATCGTGTATTCCTTAAATCCAGATAGATGATTTACCGTCCAATGCCTAGCTAATGTGTTTGATCAAGCCACTCAGATACTCTGATACTAGTTTTCTCTGGTGGGAAAAAAAATCTCGTTCCTTGAAAAGGAACTCCTAAAAGCTTGTGAAGTGCTGGCAGACAGCCAGGTGCCAAGAGAGGTTGTGCCATCTCCATCCTTGGAGGTTTTCAAGTCTTGGATAAGGCAAAACCCTGAACAACCGAGTCTGACCTCATGGCTGAGCCTGCTTTCAGCCAGAGGTTGGACTTAAAGACTTCCTGAGGTCCCCTCCAACCTGAAATAGTTTATCCTGTGATTCTATGACTACTTACTTATTCAATTTCCAATTTTGATTTCAATTTGAAATTTGCCTTTGTAATTTAATTTGCATGTCTAAAATCTTAAGTGCTCAGTCTGTTCTATCACAAATTCAACTAATGCTTACTCTGTGTGTGCAAGTGTATGTGTGTGTGTTTCAGTGTTCTGTTGTAAAAAAAAAAAAAAAAAAAATCTGGGCCTTTCCCAGGCTTGCATTTCAAAAATAATTGTTATATCACAGGTGTTATTTGCATCTCTGTGCTTATTACTGCTTTCTTTTGTGCTTATTTCTTGTGTAAACTTGCCACACGATTAATACGCTTTTTTGTTTCAACAGAGGGAGAGTATATCAAGATGTTCATGCGAGGTCGACCAATCACAATGTTCATTCCTTCTGATGTAGAAAACTATGATGATATTAGGACGGAGCTGCCTCCTGAAAAGTTAAAACTGGAGTGGGTGTATCCTTGATATCAGTAACTACTTGTGTTCCCTTTTTTTTTATTATTCCTTTAGAATCTGGTCTTGTGTCTAAAAATTACTTAAAAGTGACTGCTTCTGTCTTTCAGCTCCAAAGTGTAGGGGTTAATTTCTTGGAGACTGGTTTGCCTTAGATGCACTAAATAAATTTATCATTTGAAGAATGGGGTTGGTGTGTGGCTGGCAACAGTTCTCCAGGCTTAGATCAGATGTTAAGTTCATTATGAGAGACATGCTTTTACACACGTTTGAGTCTTCCTGTCACCCCCCCCCATCTCTGCAAATTCTTCCAGTAAGCTGTGATTGTATAAGTTTCTTAGTACTTCAGTAAAATAACATGCCTAGGCAACACTTGAGTTGGTGTAATAATCTCAAGTTTGATCCTTCTGATGTTGCTGAAGGCAGGAAGATTTTTAGGAATGTTGATGATACATTGTCATATGCCGGGATATGTACAGACAAAAGCTGCCCGTACCTCTCTCGGCATTTCTGTTAGTGACTAAGGCATACATGTGTTTTAAGCCACCCCTTGTTACTCGCTTCAAGAAAGATTATTATTTTTAACTAGTAGATGTTTGAAACAGATAATGTTGGGTACTTGGTTATGAAGAGCAGCTGTGGAGCTTATGTCCCCTGAACTTTTCAGTGAGACTGTGGAAGCTTAGACCATAAAGGCAGAAAGTTTTGGATTAAAAGTCTGACTGGAAGGAAGACTGAGCTCTTACGCTTTGCAAAGCTGTGGTGCCCAGCTTTCCTACTGTCACAGCTCTTGGGTGCTGGTGCTGGCATTTTGTGAGTGCCAGTGGAGTGAATTGGGTCAGTCACTGGTCTGGCTGAAATGTAATCTTTTTTTGTGGTGTTCAGCAGGATCAAGTCATTAACTTGATTTGTCCCACAGACATGCAAGGGCTAGAACTGGCATTCTGGAGGAAGATCAGATCTACTTTTTCAGCAGCAGTGAGCAGTTTGGGCTGGTGAAAACTGATCATGAAATCACACTCGCAGTTAAGTAGGTGCAAATCCCAGTGTGGACACACTTATTTAATGTCCAAGGACCTTAAGTTCAAGTTAAACCAGTATCCTGCTGAGGGCTAATTAAAGTGAAATAAATCTAGTGTAAACAGACTGTCCATATGGTTTTGGAATCTGTTTAAGGAAATGTCATCCTAAATCAGAGCAGTATACTTAGAGGTGTAGGGTATCTTTTGGGTACAATGGTGAAGAAAACAATGAGGAAAAGGCAGTAAAATTTATGAGGGCTTAATATTGGTCTCTCTGAAGTTGCACAAAACTGCTCTTCAGTTTTGGAGACAGAAAGATACAGCAGCAGCAGATCTCGTACTTCATGCACGGGTTTAGCAAGGGGAAGAAATCTTCAAGCCAGCCATAACTTCCAAATATGATGGCAAACTGAAGCCAAACTGAAAGCTGTACACCTTATTAAAAAAGCATGGGGACAGTGATTCACAAAATACTTTAGTAATGTCAGTGTTTTACAGCTGAAAGGTCAACTGAGTGTTGAATTGCTCAATCTGTAAGTTTTCTTTTGAACACCTTTAATTTTCCTGCCATCTGGAAGTTTGTTTATTAATTGGGCTTCCCTTCGATATTACTGTTCTGGAAGATGCTGATTAACTATGAACAACTGCAAGACAAGAACAGAATGGTTCTTGGGTGGGTTTTTTGTTTGGTGGTTTTTTCTTTTTGATTGGTTGGCTGGTTTGGGAGAGGGGTGTCCTTTTTAGATGAACTGTGTCCTGCAGGTATATTCAACTACTCATATGCAGTACTGTAGGCTCAACAGAACACACTTAGCTTTTGTCTGCCCTGCAGATTACTGTCAGTTGAAGAAATACCTAAGCTGCTTGGCAAGATAAAGTAGCTCGTGGGGAAGTCTGAGCTCTTGACTGTGTCTGGTTCCTGAGTGAATTCATTTAAATTTAGTAATTTTGTTTGGGTATTCCTGCTTTGTAGTGCAATCTTTCCTACTGCACTTCAGAACTGTTTAAAGCATATCTGGCATTCCTAGTAGTAGCAAAATGGGCTTATTTAGCAGCTGCAGAGGTCACAGTCAGTGCTGCTGTTGACAGGCAACGACTTTATAGACTCTTTCTCCCAATGTATAGTAGCTCAGTTTCTGGAGGGTATTTCTGACTCAGTCTTATAAGAATATTTTTAGTACTGGTGCTCTTCTTCCTAAGAATAATTGAAGTCAGTGGTAAATATACTGTTGAATACTAGTGTATAGTGGGTCACTTTTCATGAGGGCCATGGCTATTCTTAGCCAGTTAAAGACCAAAAAAAACCCCAAAACTAAAAGCTGTTAAGCACATCTGATGCGACAAAACAGTCCTTGTAATCGGTGAAACATTCACAGTGTGAAGACAACTATCTCTGAATTATCCTGGTCTTATTGAATGATTAACACTGAAATTTAGTGGAAATTAAGCATCAAAGTTGTAGCAGCCTTTTTTCTGTAGAGAGAGAGTCGTTTATTGTATTAACGCATCTGCTGCTTTGTTCTGAGTATGTGGAGAAGGGAAGAACTGCTGTGGAGCAACAACCCCTCTTGTTTTCTCTCAAGATAGTCTGGGATGGGGAATGAAAAGAGCAAAAAATTTCTCCCACAAACCAGGTTGTTCCTTTACATGCTCCTAAAAAACATGTTCCTAGAAAATGCAGTCACGCTTTGGTACTTTATTATGTAGGGGGGTAAGGGAAAGGAATGGGCTGAGAAAACGTAACCATTTTTTTGCAGCATTGTGAATGCCAGAGCTCCATGGTGAGTGCCAAAATATTTAGCCTTAGCTTTGCATGGCAGACTTCTTCTGCAGAAAGGTGTCTTTGTGTAAGTCATCAATACTTTTCTAGGATTTCAGGCACTGGAACAGGCTGCCCAGGGAAGTGGTTGAGTCCCCATACCTGGAGGTATTTAAAAGACAGGTAAACAAGGTGCTTAGGGACATGGTTTAGTGGTGGGATGGCAGGGTTAGGTTAACAGTTGTACTTTATGATCTTAAAGTTCTTTTCCAACTGACACAATTCTATGATTCTGTGATGAATGTTCAAAGGTGTCAATCTTAATGAAACCTTATCAATACATTCCCTATTGTATACAGCAGATTAACAAGATCTACCTTTCTCCTCTGAGAAGGTATTTAGAATAGTGTTCCTCATGTCTCAGGATAGAAAAAATATTTTCATTGTGTGTCAGTTCATTTTGAGTTTTGTTTGTTTTAAAACAAAGTCTAAAGAAATATTTCCTGAACTTCAGCTGCTGTGCAGAAGCTTGCCTTTTTCTGAAGGCCACTAGGAATTTTCTCACACTGGTTTTAAAAGGCCACATGGAAGTAATACTCCGGTGCCTGGGGTGCAGATGCACAGCTCTGTTGCTGTAAAAAATGTTAAGCCAGTACCATGACTCCTGCTGTTACCTAATGAAATGTCACATTGAGGTTTTTATAAAATGATACACTGTATTTGTTTTACTTCATTGTGCCTTATATATTTTATTTCTAACATCAATTAGCATCACTATTTAAGGGATTTGGTTTCCTGAAGTCCAATTTGTTTTGGGATTTGTTTTGGTTTGGTTTTTTAAATGGTGTTTCTGAAGTTGTGCTATAGTGCCAGAGGAAAAACGTAAAGGGCATTTGCTGACATAAGAGCTCCCCAGGAATCCTTGAAGGAAAAAAAAAAAAAAGGTGATGTGTTTGTTTTTTTTCTGGTAAACAGTAATTACAAAAACCTTGACGTTAAAAAAAAATACATATAGATATGGGTATCGTGGAAGAGACTGTCGAGCCAATGTTTACCTCCTTCCTACCGGAGAAATCGTGTATTTCATAGCATCAGTGGTGGTACTGTTTAACTATGAGGAGAGAACTCAGCGACACTACTTGGGTCACACAGACTGCGTTAAATGGTTAGTATGTAACATTTGCATGTAAGTATGCCTGTAATAATGCAGAAATGTGTGTTGGTTTTTTTTTTTATTCTCTCCCACTGTATGTATGAGCTCATTAATGTCATCATAATTGTAGTTATTTTCTGTTTCATCAGTCCCAGTAGATTTCACCGAAACGCTACACAAATGAACAGTGCTAGAGCAGTCCATGCTAACCTAGAGTTTCTGGCTTAAATGTAAAACAACAGGATATGTAGACAATCTAAGAGCGCCAGATTACAGAAAGGATCTTTGTATAAATTATTCTGAATAGATGTCCTAGAAATTAAAAATTGTTGTCAGCCTAATTCTAAATCAGTGATTTACAGGCAGTATGGCAAAGGTGTAGTCTTAAAGGAGAATTAGAAAACCAAAGGGAAAACTGAGCAATAATTTTCTCATTTTTTAATAGATGCTCCTTCCAAGTATTAAGACTGTCTGGGAAATCAGAAAAAGATGTTTGCAAAGCAAAACAGAGAAGTAGGGAAATTGAAGCCAGAATCACTGTGGGTGCAAAGGCAGTTGCTGACTTTACAATGTTAGTCTGAAGAGTAGTGCACGTAATAGTGACCATAAGCTCCCTGCTGTATCTGAATGGAGAAGAGTTGCTCTTTTCTCCTGGCTGTGCTTTGATACCTGTAATTGCTTCCTGCGGGAGGAATGCTGTCAGTCTTGTGTTCTTCACTTTCATTAAAAAATGGACTGAATTGTAAATGGTTTTGGTGTCCATCACTCTGACTTCTTCAGGCTCCCCCCTGCTCCCCCGTTCCTGTTTCCATGGCTTTCTTCACCTTTGTAATTTTACAGAGAAAGCAAATAAGAAGGTCGGTCAAAAAATCACTAGGACTAAGAGGATGTGTACTCTGAAATTACACTACCTATTGTTTTTTCACATGAGCTCCAAAGCAAAATGTGATAAGCAAAAGTGGATTTTTACTTACACTAGTAGTGCACCATACTGGAGGGTTTCATTAGTACAGTTACATCGGGAACTCATTTCATGTGGCTCCTGGTGCAAGCCCTCAGCCAACTTTTCAGCTGATTTTTCCCCAGGTTCATGCTATCTCTATGTTAAGGCATAAAATATCTGTAGTGTCTCTAAATATGGCATATAACCACATGTAGAAAGTTCATCATGAGACAATGTATATTTTGTTACAGTGAACTCCCAATATAGTGCCAAACCTTAGATTTGTCAGAGCACAGGTGGAGGTGGCTCTTCTGGCACTCCTGGTTTTTTGCCAGCAGCCGTTGAAAGAGCCTCATCAACCCATTAGTACAGTGTGTAATGAAATAGTCTGATGAAAAACATTCAAGCTGTCTCATTGAAAGTGGGATTTAGGATCATAATTCATGGGCTTCTGTTGAGAAAGAAAAAAAATTACAAAAAACCTCTCAGTTTTGAAGACCTATGACAGCAAAAGCAAGTCATATTTCTGTCTGTCTTAGTCTTGCAGTTCATCCAGACAAAATTAGAATTGCAACAGGACAGTTAGCTGGAGTGGATAAAGATGGAAGGGTAAGTAATAGAGCTGTTGAGCAGTAGTATCTTGTTTTGAAAATCAGGAAAAAGTGTTTTGGTTTTTTTTAATCTCATCATCACCTTCTGTTTGCAGTTTACTGAGATACTTTGCTGTTTCTAAGGTAACAGCCTATATCTCTAGCAAAAGACAATAACACTAAGCACTCAGCCGTACATCAAAAAGAGCAGAAGCTCATAAAGTCCTTTATCTGTGACATAGGAAGCTCAATTTGAATGCAGCAAGCAAATGTGAGGCTTGTAATTGATTTATAAGGCCACATCATTTCTGTCACATTTCTTTCAATAAGTCTTCTCCCAGAGAACCCAGTTCTGTGGGTCAGTGTTCTCTTATGGCTTCATGGAAGAGGAAACCAACTTTGAGAATTCATGGAAGGTGTGTCAAGGTTTCCTACAAACTTCCTCATTTGAGAGCAAGTGCATTTAAATGCTCTTGTCCTTGGCTGTTGGTGAACTCTGAATTTGAATAATTGGGTTATCTTCATAAAGTTATAGACAGAGAAAAAAAGAAAGGGGGTGGGGGGGAAAGACAGATACTATGAGGTGTGGAAGCACGTTAAATATAACATTACTGAGATGTTCAACTTAATTTCTTATGTTTTGTAAGGAACTGATGTGGTGGTTTTTTGTATAGATATTGTTATGATTTCCACTGAACATTTGCTGAATCGCTTGTTAGGGCTGGTTTGTTTGTTTTTCCATCAGTGGGATGATTTATTGTCACTTTCTATGGTGAATGCTGTCCTTAAGCCAACTTGATTCCTACTTTATCTGTGACTGTTTCGCATTCATGAAGCTAAGCTGGTTTGGGATAGTACTTGCTTGAAATATAACCATGGAGATTTTCATTGAGTGGTTGGTGATGGTTAGGGGACTCGGTGCACCAGGGGTTTTGTTTGTTTGTTTTTTCCTACTTTACATATTGAAAAAAACAAGGTTTGATCATTATTTTCAGTTGTTGCATAAGATTGCTAGGTCTGGGGCCTGAAATGCAAGATGCCTCTTCCATTATTTGTTCAATGACTTAAATTGGGCAAAGATTTATTTTCACAACTACCAAATGCCACTGTGCTTAATTTCTTGCCTCGGTGGCACTGCTGCCATGATTGTCGTCCAGACATAGGGAGCAAGATTGTCTTGACTCTCACCTTTTGAGCTCCAAGATACTATCTGGTGGCATTGTTAGCACAGGTCAATCCTGCATTTCGGTCTGCAGTTTGTAATTCAGGTAGCATCTGCTTAGCAAAACTTGACACCTGCATATGATGCTTTCACTGTTGATGACGCTGTTTGTCCCATTGCTTTTACACACAGCCTCTGCAGCCCCATGTTAGAGTATGGGACTCGGTGAGCCTGGTGACGCTGCAGGTTATCGGCCTCGGGACTTTTGAACGTGGAGTGGGGTGTTTGGATTTTTCCAAAGCGGTAAGATGGGTGCGATTACTTGGTGTGTTAAATAATTTATCCAATCCTATGCAAATGGGAAGGAAATTGCTGGAGATTTTTTGTATATGGTTGTCTAGCTGATCCGTTTTGGTATTAAAAGTGTGTCAGTAATGTTTATGTATGCTTTATAAAACCAGCTGACAGTGAGCTAGCAGGAAAAACAGGAAATCACACATGTAAAATTGTGGTAACAAACTAGCACAGTGAATAAATAGCAGGCAAAAAAAGCCTTAGCTAGAAATGGAAGTCTGTGCTGGGTTCGGTGGTTTGGTTTTGTTTGTGAGGGGCTCGGGTTTTTGTTTGGATGTTAAAACCAAGCTTGTTAGTGAGATTCATGAAGACAGGTTTTAGTGAGTTCTGATACAAAGGTAACTTTCCTGCTTGTACAGCTGGAGCAGGTTTTTATCCAGCAATGGGAAATTAAAAAAAAAAAAAAACAAACAACATTATCTTGTGCTATTTTTTCCTGACGAATAATTTGTTCAATTTATGCCTCTACTTTTACATAGGGGGGAAAAAAAAAAATAGAAGTCTTGTTACTGGGCCCACAGAATTTATCAGAAAAATCAGTAGCAAACAGAGATGTGCTATTCAGCATTGACAAAATTCTCATTTCAAAACTGGCAACGAGTTTATATGGTTATATTTTAATCTTTAAGCTGCCTTTGTATGTTTGCCAAAACATTAAGATATATCAGACCTCCTGAAAACCCAGGCTGTGATTTTTGCATCCCAGCAAGAAAAATCTATAGGTGTAAAACAAATAAACAAACAAAAAAAACCAGAAAAAGAATGTCTGCTGTGTTTTCCTAATAGAGGAAGAGTTTCACAGGACAGCTGAGGTGGGACTGGATGGCTGGAGATCACCTCATCCATTGCATTGTCCTGCTCACAGCCACCTCAGCCGGAGCAGGCTGCTCGGGGCTGAGGTCCAGCTGCGTTCTGAGTATCTCCAAGGATGAAGACCCACCAGTCTTGCTGGGTGATCTGTTGAAAAGAAATGCTTACACACAGTTATAGCTAGGTTTTGTGTTTCAGGAACGAACTTTTAAATTTTTTTTTTTTTTTTTTTTTTTACAAGTAAGGGGGAAGCATAAATAAAATACAATAATATGGGCAGAATACTGTTGCTCCTGTCATTCTAACAAATCAATAAAACTTTTAAACTCAGATACAGGTGGGTTTTTTTTCCAAAGTGAATAAATACATGTTCTATCATTTTAAAAAGAAAACAAACAAACCAACCACTATGCTGTTTTTGAGGACTAGATTTTAGTTTTTACTAGTTTGTTTTGCAGCTGAAACTGATTTTGATATCTTATTACAGTCTCACACAATTCCTCACTGGATCGAAACAATTAACGTGCAGTATCCAGAACTGTGTTTTTACCACATAATTCCATTAACCTATGCAAGACCTGTGTATATTGCCAATGCTGTCTTCAGGGTGTCTTTCCACTTAATAACTGACATGTATATTTGCATATTAAAATGCACTTAATAGTATTAGTATTTGGGCATGAAAATTTCAGCCACGTCTATTTTCGTAATTTGTTAGAGAATGCAGTTGAACTGCAAGAATCAACTTTAAAGTAAATAAGGCCTCCTCCAAATCTTTCTTCACATATCCTTGAAACAACTGGTTTATGCAAGTATGTGTTGCTGTGAATAAGTATGGTTTTGTTCTGAGATTTTCTGTCTGCTCTTTTAATTCCGTATAGTCATATTTACCATTTTGTTGTAAAATTGTTCAAAATAGGCCGTTTCAGTTATTTAATACTGTCGATGCCAGTCTTTCTGCTCTGTAAGCATAATTTTATATTCAGAAAGTGTTGCCTTTGCCTTTACCAATTATATGATGAAACTGCTGGTACTTAATGCTCCATGAGGAAAAAATGAGATGTGCTTACAAAATATGATAACGTAAAGTTGTGTGTATGTGATAGTGACTCTTAAGGAAAAAAAACCACAACTGGAGCTATGTCTGTCCTCTGAGACCTGAGGAAAAACAAAATAATTACAGAATAGAAAAAGGGAGAAACCTCTTTGCTACTAGCATGATATTGCAAACAAGAAAGCAAAAAAAAAGACAACAAAAAACACAAACTAAATGGGAAAAAGACTTGTTAAGATACTTTTAAAGCTTTGCTAGAATAGTGTTAGAAGCATGGCCATTTTTTGTGAGATTATGCAAAAATCTATGTCTGTCTGTAAGAATAAAGGAAAATACCAGATATATCAAGCTTATAATTACTTTGAAAGAATTTTTTTAATTCATATTTGTACCTTTGTGTTTTTTTAAAATCCTGCCCTGCCCTGTTTCTAGATGGGTATGATAGTACTTTGTCAGCACTTCTTGTTTTCTTTTTTCCTTTAGGATTCTGGCACTCATTTGTGTGTAATTGATGACTCTAATGAGCATATGCTCACTGTGTGGGACTGGCAGAGGAAATCAAAAATAGCAGAAATAAAGGTAATTATTGCACAAATTAATATTCTGAAATACAAGTGGTTTTATTCCCACAAATACAACAGTTTGCTTGGCACATATTTAATCTTACTTGGAAACTGCAGCAGTGTAATACTGCTGGCTTGTGTAAGGGCACAAAAGAAATGTATACTTAACTTGTGTATTGGAAGGGTTTTGAATATTGGAGCGCTTATAATTACATTTTATTCATCCTTAAGAGCCAATCCAAATAAAACAATTATCTAATATTTTCCTAATTTAAAAAAAAAAAAAATCCTGGGAACTTTATGAAACTTTAAGATTCAGTCTGTAGTTGTTTATTTAAAAAAAAAAAATACTTTTAGACATTCCTTATTTTCATTTTTGTCTGAATTGACTTCCAGGCATTGAGTCTCAGTATGTATGTCTCTTCTCATTTGAAGTCCATTAGTACTTTTGTAGATTGCAATCTTGTTTGCTTTCCTGTTTCCTTCATAACCTTCTAAATTTCTCATGAGAAGCATTCAGAGGTGTTGCGCTCAGTGTTCGTGTAAAGTTGATTCCACTGGAAACACCCAATCTAAGAATAACTTGCTATTGAAGTCCATATTTTGACACATCTTGCTTTGCATTATACAATGTCAAGCAAGGAGATATTACATGGGTGTGGAACGGAGTATTTTTAAAATTTTTTTAATCATGAGTTAGCAAGTGGAATATTCTACAAGCATGTATGTCTATATGATTACAAACTTGTAATTTCAGATAACAAAATCAGGTTGGTTTGACCCATTTTCTTTAAATTATGTTGACCAATACTAATTATATTCTATTCTGCAAGTTTTACTGTAATTCTATGTCAGTCTTTTCATGTCTTTGCTGATATTTAATGTGAAGCTATTCGACATATGCTTTGTATTTCCCATTTTATTGAAATTATGCTTTGACTATGTTCACTCTCCAGGGAGTTCCTTGGTGTTTCAGAATTGGCTAAAAACAATTTGGCAGGGACAGCTTGCCCTTCAGTACTTATTCAAGTTTAGGACTTGATCTTGCAGTATCTTAAGCACCTTCCACAGTTGGTGGTGTGAGCAGAGTTTCATCCCTTGAGCTAGGGTGCAAAACAGAAGCCTTTTCTCAGCTGAACTCCATTGAATTTTTCAGTCCTTAGCTTCCATGAGGTCCTCTCATGTGGAGGAAACAGTATGTGAGAAGCATAATTCTGTAAATATGGCCATCAACAAAAAATGAAACTTAAGAAGGTTGTTTTCCTGAAGTGAGCCAAAAATAGTGGGGTGGGAAAGGATGCTCCCACAGATACTGATTCAGCAGCAGTTTTATGTATACTCCTTTAAAGCATGGGCATAAATCCCATAGAAGTAAATGCATTGAAACATTTACTAAAGTGGTTTGTAGAGCCATTGTAGAGCCAATCTGCAGGAGATTGTCTTCAAAGACAATTGGATAGAATCTACATTAAAAGTTAGATAAATGACCAGTCAGTTTGTTATGTTGGTAAAATCTGTTGGTAAAGGGTTAAATACTCACTGAGGTGTTAGTAATTCAGTAACAGTATATGCAGCCAGTAAAAATACAAAGGTGGGACTCTGTTTCAGAGTTTTGAGTTATGCAGGTTTCCTATTTTCTTCTTTGTCAGGAGGAAAGGAGAGGAAGTAAGAACCCAAAGGAATTTTTACAGAGTTTCTGAAAGAGAATGATGACTATAATCCTACTGTGTTACCATTGTCTTAGTTGCGTCTCTCACAGCTTTGTTATCCAAAATAGCAAACAACTCTGCGTAGAAACTAAGCAGGGTTTTCAACCCAAAAAAGCATCTTTTATACATCATTCACTTTCCATGGCAGAAGTCTTAGCTGTTCCAGAGGGCAGAAGCTTTTGTGATTTAATGTAAACCCCTGACTTTTCTACTGAACTTTTATTAAGATCTCTTATGAATGCAAAAAATCAATATATATAAAATGATATGTGCAGTCATTCAGACAGTTGATTTAGCATGGAACACTTACAGATTCTTTCAAGCATACAATGAGCTGTCTAGTTCCTCATATCTCTGTTCCGAACCTTGGGATTTTATATGTGTTTCTTGTAGTTAATGTCCCATCTGAATAAATATTATTTCTGTTATTATTTCAGACTACAAATGAAGTTGTTCTTGCTGTAGAATTCCATCCAACTGATGCAAATACCATAATTACATGTGGCAAATCTCATATATTTTTCTGGACCTGGAGTGGCAATTCATTATCAAGGAAGCAAGGGATATTTGGGGTGAGAATATCTTGATATCAAGTCAGTTTTAAATCATCGGAATAATCAGATCACGCTTTCTATAAATTTGCTCCATCGTTACCATATACTGTTTGAGCAGAGACATAAACAGAAAAGGTTAAATTCTGCTTACATGTGTGAAGGGTGTATGGGTGTGGGTACATTATACTAATTACGTAAAGAGTACAAGCAATTACCCCTTTCTTTTGCTTATTTTGTTTCAGAAATACGAAAAACCGAAATTTGTTCAATGTTTGGCATTTTTGGGAAATGGTGATGTGCTCACTGGAGACTCAGGTGGGATAATACTTATATGGGGCAAAACTACTGTAGAATCTACTCCAGGAAAAGGACCTAAAGGTACGATGCACTCACAGTTAATCACAGATTTTAGATAGTCTGTAGAAGACAACTGTAAAGGATTGCATTAGGAAAAGAACAGGGAAACAGGCCAGACTAAGGGTGTACGCTGCCCGTTATTAACAGGTGGCACTAAACTCCTTCAAGTCTCGTGAATTTGCTCACTTAAGAGCAATGTAGAGTCTCAATAATTAATGAGACTGTGCCTGAAATGGATCAAAACTACTTTATCAAAATGTTTTGCATTTTGAAAATGTGCAGTTAATCAGCTTTCCTTTCATCCTGAAATTTGAAAAAGGCTGTAGGATCAGTTCAAGGATTTTGCAGCCTACCTTTGCCTCTTAAGGCTTATGTTGTACTGTGCTTAATCTCAGGGGAATACCATTAACTGTTGAAGCTAATGTTAATAGGACTTATATGTGAAGAAAAAATATAATGTGTAGTTGTACCAGTTACGCAAATAACCATATCTGGTTTAGCAGATACTCAAGTCTTGGCTGTAAAATATAGTTCAAAACCCATATTATTTGAAATTTGGGTTAAAGTTGCTCTTTAGAGCAAAGCTTTTGTAAAAAAAGAAAGGAAAATTATTTGTTATCCAACATATGCAGACCTGGCACAGTTGAGCCCTAAGGTAACTTATAAATTCAAGGATAATTTATTTTATTTGGCAGCTATTTCAAACACTCTGGTTTAAATTGGTATGCCAGGAAAACATTCATGTAAAAAGTAAATTTTTAACAGTAAGTCTGTTTTTGTAGGTAAATCTTTTTCTTGTCTTTCAAGCTAACTGCAATGGAAAAGTAATTTAACAAATTATCTGATGTTTAGTTTTGAAGTTCTTGTGCAAAAATAACCTTTTCCCAGAATAATCTTAAAAGATATCAAATAGAACATTTATTTACATTGGCTTAATTAAATATGGGATCTTTTAGTTCATTTATCACATTAGATTGGTCACAGGACTTGATCTCAAACCCTTTTTCATGTGTGAGAGCACGCTGACTTGAACTGATTTGAGCCATAGGCAGGGCCATCAAATTTAAGCTGGTATTTATTTGGGTGGTGGTTTAGGCTTTTTGCTGTGATTGCTGTTTGAAAATATGCAAGTCTCAAAGCACCAGAATCTTGGTTTTTGAAAAATATACTTTCCTACAGTGGTTCTTTTGACATGAAGACTGAATTAGGATGCAAAAGGCTTCCTTTGCTACCTTTATTTTTTAATTTTCTCATCTCTCTCTCATTCATCCTAGTGTTTTCCTTTGGGTAGACTGCTATATTGATAGATGCCAAATGCTGGTTATACTATTTTTAAGTGAGGCAACATCCAGCATTAGATATTTTGTTCATGCATCCTGGAAACTTTGCTATAAATAATTTGCTTTTTGTTCCCATAGGACTATAGACAACAAGTTTTTTGAGTTTCTTTTAATAAAATAACTTTAATTCTTTTCTAATAATGACTTGCAAATTATTTATTGACTCTAAAGGACAGTTTCTCTTGCAGCTGGAAAAACTGTGTTCCATTGGATAGCAGAGAAATGAAAGCATTTTGCAAATAGTTGTTCTCACCTTCACAACTTGTAGGACAATCAATCTCAAAAAATTTCTATTCAGAAAGGCAGGTCCTTTGTTTTATCTTCTTATCCTGTAAGAAAACACTACCACCTTGTGTTTGCAGTACTAATGCAATACTAATAGCCTGACAGTCCAACTATAATTAATTATTATACACAGTTACTTTATTCTTCTGCCAAAAGGCACAGCTTCTTGTAACCCCCAGGTGAAAAAATGAGTAGCGTTCTTTATTATTTTCTTTTTGTGCATGTAGGAGTATATCAGATAAGCAGACAAATCAAAGCTCATGATGGCAGTGTGTTCACACTCTGTCAAATGAGGAATGGAATGCTGCTAACTGGAGGAGGGAAAGACCGAAAGATCATCCTGTGGGATCATGATTTGAATCCTGAAAGGGAAATTGAGGTAAGAAAGCAAGAGTGACAAGGCAATTGCCTTGAGCAAGATATTGACTAGCAAGGTGAAGAAGACCTCCCCACCTGGGAGGTGTAGTATGATGATAGAGTATCTTCTGGTTGCTGTCTTTTTAAGTGGATGACAATGCTTTATTTGCAAAAGTGTTTAAATTCTCAGCCTCTAAATGAGCCTATATGAGGTTCAGTTTTCCTCTATTAAAGTTGAACAGAAATTTTAAGATTTTTTTATCCTCCAAGCCCTTCCTTAGTTTCTTTTATTCGTCCCTTTTTTGAGGATATTCTTTAGTATCGCCTGTGTTTTTGTTAAGTTTGCCTGTCTGGAGAAAGACAGTGTTAGCAGGATTTGAGTGTTTTAACAGAATTTTTGACATAAGGCAAACAATTGGTAGGATACATATGGGCATTCTGTAAGACTTAATGATTAATAAGCTATGTTGAAGACCTTCTTTTGACTTTACCCTAAAACAAGTGTTTAGTGAATATGTATGTCTTTGTGATTGGCTATATGGCAATGCTAGGGAAATGGGGATGAACTGGGAAAAAATTATACATTATGGTTTTTAAAATACTTGTGGGTTTCTTTTTTCCTGACAATAAGATGACTGTTTGAAATAGTGTGGTGTTCTTAAACAGTTGTTGTAGTAATGGTTTATTCCACTTACCTAGTGTCCATTTATAGCAGCATTTTTTCCTTAACACTTATGTTTAGTTCCATGTAGAGTTTATTACCTTGAATCTAATGCTGACCTTTAGAAAACATGTCTGAGTGTAAGTAAGCACTGACTATTATATACAACTCTTAGGCTTAAGTAACAGACTCTATTCATATCAATGTCTCTGTTTTCCTTTTGGTAATAATGTTTTGTTGAAGCTAATTTTTTATGTGGATAAATATTACCAGAATCCCGACAGGCAACTTTCTGAATGATTGTATTGATTTTCGATCTTGTGCGGTTAATATTACAGTTAGTGTATTTTCTAAAGATAAATCATTAAGAAAACCAAACAAATGCACACAGTAAAATAAAACAGTGTATTAGAATTCAAGCATGCAATAATCAAACTCAATAAAATTTGGAGTCATTGCTGACATAAGGCATATGAACATTTACTTAAAGATAATCAGGACGCATTAAGAAAATCAGGAAGCATTTGCTGTGTGCTACAAGACTTTTTCTTATTTTTCACATGTTTTGAAAAGTAAACAGTAACTATGTATTACTCCTATTCTAATAGGACGAGTTGTAAGGTTGTGGAGTGCATTTGTTTAGTGTATTTGACACTTAAAAATGCATGTAATTTAATTTGTAATTTTTTCTACTGAGAGTTAATAAAATGGCATAATTGTGATTATTTTGGAGTGAGATCGTCTTGTGTGCCTGTACTGAACAAATAAATGAGGTAGGTTTCAGGTCAAGTCCTGACTTCGTGTATATGTGATTAGATAGCTCCTTTTTACTAGGAGAACTGCAGTTCTGGTACCATAGTTGTGCACTATATGTGGCCCTCAAAAATAAGCACTTATCAAGATGCATGATATGGTTTTACAGATGTTTCTTTTCCTAGGTTCCTGACCAGTATGGAACAATCAGAGCAGTAGCTGAAGGAAAAGCAGATCAATTTTTAGTGGGTACTTCACGAAACTTTGTTTTGCGGGGAACATTTAACGATGGTTTCCTAGTAGAGGTACAGGTGAGCACAGTCTTTTACTGTTTATTTTTTTTTTAACTATAACCCCAAAATGTAAAGGCTTTCCCTGCTGGTGTATTATTTCAAGAGAGTCTTTTTTTATTCATTGTTAAATCATACGTGTTTTCTTTCCAGGGACATACAGATGAACTGTGGGGACTGGCATCCCATCCTTTCAAAGACTTATTTTTAACATGTGCCCAAGATAGGCAAGTTTGTATGTGGAACTCTGTGGACCACACACTGGAATGGACCAGGCTGCTAGATGTATGTCTTTAATATTAAATATAAAGCTGGAAAATAAGAAAAAGCATTCATTTTCTGCAACACCCTTGTGCCATCTGATTGCAAGAGAAGCAAAAATCCTGTAGTTAGGCCTTTAAAAACACCTATTCAGAAGCTTTAATAAACTTTACCAGGCTCATCAGACATTGTATAGACTGTAATGTGATGACCGTTGTCTGATGCCATGCTAACAATCCAAGTTGAATAAAACTTTATCCTTTGTTCTTGTTACAGTTTAACTGTTTTTTCCAATTATTTAAACAATCTGAAGAGGGTATTGTACAGTTGTGCAAGGTTTGGCTTTAGATATCCATCCTTACTGTCATTGTTCATTTCATATTTGGCTAATTCTGTCCTAATACCCAAGCAAAAGTATCTTTTTACACAGAAATTTAAGCTTTTTACTTTGAAGCTGGTCATGTAGTGCATGTCACTGATACATTAAAAGAAAATCTGTCTGAGGATTATAAGCGTGCTGCCAACTGATTGGTTTTCCCTGTGTCAGTTCACCTCAGACTTTTAGGGTAGCTTTGGTTAAGGAGAGGTGTTTGATGGTAAGAAAGCGGGTGGGTGAATAACGTGTCTGTGCCTCTCCGTTCAGGAACCAGGGCACTGTGCCGATTTCCATCCCAGCGGAGCAGTGGTCGCAATAGGAACGCACTCGGGCAGGTAAATGCCTTTCAACTGAGTTGTGATGATTGAAAGTTTAAAGCAAACAATTTGATACTACTCATCTTATATAGTGGAATTCATTTGCTTTTTATTCTTTTTGCTTGAGGTTAAGTAGCCTAAAAAGCTTGTGGGAAGGGGACAGATCTTTCTTACATGGGTTAGATGAAGACAGAAGGATTTTTGACTGTTGTTAGGCTGTTTTGTTTTTTTAACTACTCTTCCGTGAAAGCCCAGATCTTGATTTTTTTTTTTTTTAAACTATTTTTTTTGCAGGGGTTTCCATGAGCACTCTTTATTGGCTTTACCAAGAACTGTATACTTTAATATTGTGTGTGTATGTTACATTAGTTTATAAGACTGGTACCGTACAGATCTTTCTCTTCCCAAATCAAACACACTTGCAGCCTTTTAAATTGACATGGAGAGGCAAGTGAACGGGCTAGGATTTTGATTTTTGTGCAAGACAAAGTTCAACATTGCTGCAATGAAGTTCTATCGACCTGTTCATACTCTTTCTGAAATCATTGCATATTTGAAAGCTATGAAAACACAAGCTGAGTCTTTTAACTCAGGCTTCGTTTAGTGGTGGAAAAAATTTGTTTTAATTCATAGTCAAACTCTGGCTTGGTATCATCTCCCAAGAAAGGAGTTTCATGCAATGTATTTTTAGCAACTACCAGTTAAAAGAAAAAACAGATATTCATAGCATTAGAAAGGTGAGAGGAGCAGATATTAAATCTGCTAGCATTTTTATTATATTTTTCAGTTATACCTCATGGTTGATGACTCAATGATAAAATAATATATAGCACGTGTAAGAAAATGGGGAATTTTTTTTGTGTTTAATTCGCCCTCTAGAAATTTTTTTTTATACCTAACCTTATGCCTAAAAATCATTTGGTTTTTAGAAACTTCTGAGCGTGTGCAGCACCCTTAAACTTTCCTGGAAAAACAAAACGTTAAATACTTTTTAAGGAGTTTCCTCCTCCAAGATGAAGATGCAGTCTGCACTAAATTCATTAGGTATAACATCAGGCTAGAAAACCTAGTTTACCTTCCTTGAGTGCTTGTATATATGGTTTCCACGTTGCACCTTTCCACTTTTTCATCTCTTTCTAATTATAGCAATAAATTGAACAAGTGTTTCACCTTCATTAAACAGAGCAGACGATACTGACCTAATAGTACTTGAAACAGGGAAAAGGGAAAAGAAGGTCAGGCTACATTTCTTGAAAGTTTAGGTGGTTTTGAAATGACATCAAAGCACAATGAAGGCATATTGACTGGCTGAAGCGTTCAGTCTTGTGTTTGCTTTTGACCTTCTTTTTTCCCTCCCAGAGTATTTTAACATTACTTTTTCAGTTCAGCACTTTTCAGTTTAAATTCATATTTTTTAATTACTTGAGGCAACTGGTTCGGATAAACTTATGATGAAGGCCTTGGGAGGGTTTTTTTTGGGGGGGGGGGGGGGGGGGGGGTCCCCCCCCCCCCATTCTTGGAACTGAGCAGTTATATTTTCACCATTATATTTTATTGCGTTCTGAAATTGCATGATTCAATGATAGCTTTGAGATACACAAATGAAACTGAATTGAAATGAGGCCTGGTAAGTGTACAAGCGTATGAGAAATAAATGAAGTTGTGAATCAAGATAAACAGAACAGTTTTAAATTTACTGCCTAACCAGTAGCATCAAGCGGTGCTTTCTGTGCCAGCTAATCCAGTCCAAAGGAGTTATTTCCCAAGGAATGAGGGCTGCATGATGTATCTCAATTAATGTATGAGATAAAATAGTCTCATAGTCTCAAGCCATTTTATTAAATAACTTACTTGATTCATAGGCCCAAAATGCATAAAGGCAATATTAAATGAGTCTCATTCGTAAAGAGTTCAATAAACCTTGTATGTGTCTACCTATTGTCATTCTAGTGCTGCTCTGCTTCCAGTACGGAGGTCAGTAAGACAGGGGTGGGGAACATTAAGAAGGTTGGGTTTGATGGTTAAAACTGTGACATCTGAAGAAAACTGAATTTTCTACCTCTCTTCCCATGTCTGTTGTTTCACAGCGGTGTGTTTTTTATCAGGCCAACACATCATGGTTTTGGTGTGCATTTCAGGTACCTCTTGCCATGATGACTCTTTCGGTATCATTTCCCTTTTTGGGCCATCTGCAAATGATCTGCTGCAGGTTTTGTTAGCCACTTCTTTAAATACCTTCTGTGTGCCTGATCATCAGTTGTCTGGGATTAAGCCTGGTTTGGAAAGAACTAATACTTTTTGTGGATCCTGGAAACGCACAGCTCAAAAACTAAAAGGGCTGGCAATCAGAAATCCTACCAGAAAAGTGGGTTTTTCAAGGCACTATGCAGCTCCTTTTGCCATGCTGCCAGTGGTATTATTTGCAGGGAACTAGACCTTTCTGTGACTAATCATGTAGCATATCTTGAGTGCTGTGCACTGCAGAAAAAAGACTAGTAAGATTCTTACAAAAATACTGACATGATTAAGAAAACTGTGGGCTGGAGGGCAAGACCAGTGTAAGCCAAATCCACAAGAAGGTAAATCAATCAGTAGAGCTATTGCCATTTATACCAGTTCGGCATCTGTTGTGGTATTAAGATGAAGAAGCCTAAATATCCCAGGGAACCACTTTTGTAAGATGGGTTGGTTTGTTCACTCTGATTAGTGCCTTGCACGTTCAACATTCCATATTAATTGAACGTGGGAATTGCAAGTGTAAGTGCAAAAATATATTACTACTTTGAAATACTGTTTCCCTGGTGATTTCATCAGAAAAATTCTGCATTCACAGATGTGAATTATCAGTAATAAATGTCTGTCATGGGTCAGAATTTGTTTTACAGGGGAGAGTAGTTTAAGGGGTTTTGTTTCTAAAAACATATTTTTTAGATAGGTTATTAGTATTTTTTTAAAGGAAAGACAAGAAATGGATGAAAATGGCAAAAGTTCTGTCGTGTTTAAATGAACTCACAAACAAGTTAAGCATATTATCTTCGGTAACAATTGGGAGAAAATCAATAAAAACCAGAAAAGGCAAAAGAGCTTCTATGTTACAGCCGGGATACCATTCTCCCATTTATTTCATCCAGTCTACGGATCAGAAGTTCACTTGGCAGCCAAGCTTTGCATTTCACAGCCCGGTAGAACTGTTTCAGGGTCAGCTGCCATTTGCATGTTGCATACCTTCGTGTTGGAAGGAAGATCCTCTCACGAAATCTTACAGCCGGGATACCATTCTCCCATTTATTTCATCCAGTCTACGGATCAGAAGTTCACTTGGCAGCCAAGCTTTGCATTTCACAGCCCGGTAGAACTGTTTCAGGGTCAGCTGCCATTTGCATACCTTCGTGTTGGAAGGAAGATCCTCTCACGAAGTGTGGTCTCAAGGTGGACCCCAGCTGTTTGCGAGCAGGGCCTCCGTGGGGCCTGCCGATGAATGGCTGTAGCCGCTAGACTGGAGACACTTTTCATGGAGCCAGGCTTTCTTGCTGGCAGTTGCAGTTTTTGCCATGACATTGGGAGAGTCTGGAATCCTGAAGAGAGCATGTCTGATTGCAGCTTGTGGCAGCATCAAGAAACAGCTGAACTAGATGTGACCAATGCTTCGGTTCTTAAATTAATACCAAAATTGTCACGGTGCACTGACTGTTTCCTCGGTCAGCTAAGATTGCTGCTAATACCTCTTGTATTTGGAGAAGGACTGGTGTCACAAAATGCTGTCTCCTAATGCTAAATGAAGTTCACTGTGCCCTCTTAAGAGCAGCAGCAGTTTTGCATTGAGTTTGATAACACAGAATACCACATCTGTGCTTTCAGTAAAATAGGGGGGGTTGCATGTTTTTCCAGTAGCATTTGAGGCTTTGGGTCTTTCTCATTTTACATAATATTAACTGGAGGATTGCCTGATTTGGGGAACAGCATGCCTCTGCTGCAGTAGCCTCCCTTCCCTGGTTGTATATTTTGGGACACAGAGGGCTCAGCCCTCCCCTTTGGCTGTCTGGCAGAAGCACTGTGCAGCACGGTCACCTGCAGGAGACATGGACGTGGGAAGGGGATACCCATCCACTTTGTGGAAGAAGGCTGCTTTTGATTGTTACTGTACTGCTGATGAGTTTTTATATCCAGGCACCACAAGTATGCTGCTCAAAATAAACAGGCATTGTGCTGTGTCATCTTGCTGGATAAATAGATTTTACAATCTAGTGCCCAAGTTTTGTGGTAAAGCAAAAGGTCTTTCTGTCTCCTGTTTTGCTGTCCGTGCACAAGAGGTGTGTTGCTGACCTGGGCTGAAGCAGTGAGGAGCCTCTACCCTGTGCTGGATTCAGGAAAACACAAATAAGAATGGAACAGTGAGGCATTGGCTTTCAGACCAGCTCCTCATGTTGCTTGAAAACCGAGTGACTTCAACTCAGTGATGCCTCCATGTGTGTTCTTCACACTTCTGTTGTTGTCCCACCAGGATGTACTTTAAAAGCCATTTATCTGTCATGATGGAGTGATTGTTTTTCTCTGGAGGCAAAATGGCATAGGTACCCTCTCTCTTCCCCCCTGCCGGGCCCTTTTGTGGTTTGGTTTGGTTTGGTTTTAAATTTATTTTGGTTTCTTCTTTAATGTCCACAACCCATCAGGGTTATCAGCCAGGTAACATTTTAGTGAAACATTTGGCAGGGCCAAAGAGGGGCATAGTTCAACCTAAATAGCAGGATAGCAACTCTTAATGCCTTCAGAGAACTTTCAGAGATTCAGTGTGTAGATTGGAAGAGATTAAAAGTCTACTTTCAGCAGAGGATTACAGCAGAGAAACTCTGAGCATGACTTCTACTGCTGTCCAATGCAAACATATTAGCTGTTTTGCACTGGTTCCATCTGTCTTGCACACAGGTTATTCAGCAGTCTGTGGGATGTAGGTCTGAGGGTTTTTTATGCATATGTCACTTAATTTCGTTCATGTGGTTCTCTAACCACAAGCTGGTTTTAAGCCTCTCGGACCAGGCCACCTTTGAGATACCAAGTCTGCATCAGCGCAAGGTGGAAGCTCATCTCCATTGATAGAAAACAGCCATGTTGAACTGTTGTTCCTGGAGTTTATTTTAGCTTATATAAGTTTGTTTTGGAATAGAGGGTCCTGGCTTTCGGGGTGTGTTTATTCCACGGAGTTCACCGTTGGGTGTCTGTGTGAGATGGCAGGTGGCATTGCCTTGCCCATTTCCACAGTCCATGGACTTGCTGTTTGCTGCTAGGGACACAAACCTGTCTGCAGCATACGTGCATGGTCGTGGGATCAGAAGTTTGGAGCAAAGAAATTAAATTCTGAGTACAGCTTTAATGTGTTTAGCCATGTCAGGAGTTTATGTTTTCATTTTTAACATGTATGTACATATATTTTTTTTTTTAAATTTTCATTGTCTATTTTGTTAATCTTCACTGTCTTTAGGAGTTAAATGGGCAACAGAACTGTGGCAAATACTCAGGTTCTGCTGATCATGCCTGCGTTGCTGCCAGTAGCCATTTTGGTGTACAGCCCACTGGGGTTTTGTGAGCTTCTCTGAGCTTTTTTACATGTGCCTCATAACTAATACTGCAGGTTAAACGTTATTGTTAAATAACAAAAAATGCAATTAATCACCTTAGTTATAAATCATCCAAGCAGGAAATAATTTTTTAAAAATGCTAGGTTATGAACTATCAGATTTCAGTAAATTCTTTCTTTCTTTGATAACATTATTGATAAAAATGGAAAGGACTGGGGGGAAAATACCAAATTAGAATATACTTGTGTTTAAAATGAGTCTGGAAATGTTTTCCACTCCCTGCTCCTACTTCTATTTTTTTTAACTTCATACAAATTGAAAGATCAGTTTTTATATCAAAGCTGTTCTTCAAAATGGGAAAGTAGTAGTAGATCAAAATTCAGCTGTAGCCTTAGGGCTTCAGGATGATAAGGTGCAGTACTATTAGCTATCTGGTGCCATCTTTTATCATCTAGTAGACTTTTTGGTGATTACTGCAGTGTTTTAAGGAGGGGGAAAAAATTGGGCTGTATTTAGAATTTTTTATATATTCTTCACTGAAACTTGCATTGCTTTGCGAACCAGAAAAGCGTTCCATTAAAAACAGATGTTTGCTGTGCAGCCCTTGAGGGGCTAGCATGAGAAGATGAAGGCAGGCAGTCATTATTGCTCTTTTGCTTGCTTTTTTGTTTAGTGGAAGTGATACTCATTGGAATTCTCCTCTCTCTAGGTGGTTTGTTTTGGATGCGGAAACGAGGGATCTGGTTTCCATACACACTGATGGCAACGAACAGCTCTCAGTGATGCGCTATTCAGTAGGTAGGCAGACTTGTACGTTCAGAATAATCGCTGATAAATGAGATGCCTGTGCTGTTAAATGGTGTTAAACTATTCCTCAGTCACTAGAAAAGGCAGAGCTTTGAAAAAAAAATTGTTTAAGATGCTTAATATATAACTAAATACTTGGTTACAGACTTAGTATGCTAAGTCTTGGAGTTTTGCAACTGCAAACATTACAGTTGCCTTTTCCAGCCTTTCCTTCACATCGAACTGTACTGTTATAACAAATGTTAGCTTTGCTCCCAGAAAAATTAAAAGTTCTCCACTAAATAGTTGACAGGCTAACAGAAAAGTCTGTGAAAAGCTTAATATTTCAGTGACGTTTTAATATACTTCTTAGTTAATTTTCATGTTTACTAATACAAAACCATAAAACTAAGCACAGGTCTGTCTGAAACTGAGAGCTGTTTGTTAAGTATTTGCTATGGGATTACATGGAGTCCAAGCCAGCAAGTCTCCTCTTCAGGCGTGACATGACAGACCATTAGGGGCTGACTCCTCTCTGTTAAAACTGTATGGGAGAACACGCTCATAAATCTGTTTCTTGTTTGCTTTTGGATAACATGCTGTGTCAGTGGGCAAAATGTTCCTCTGCTGCTGCCACATCTGCCAAGTGCAGCAATTTCTTTTAAAGCGCTGATGTTCATTGACACTAGAGGCGTTTGATTGTGATTCAAGGCAACTTTTGTCCACATACTTTTTTTTTTTTTTTTAAATGGAGACAATACGGGTTAGAAAACTGCTTATACTGTTTGAATGCTCTGCTTCTTCTATAGACTTTATTTAGTGCTGGTTTATATGCAATCCTCCCCTCCAAAGCTAAGCTAACTATAGAGTAAATACTGTTCTGCATGTTTTTGTGATGCAGAAAACTCAAGCCTGCCTGCTGTTGACAACTTCCAGAAATCTAGTGCAATCTGAGGATTTATACCCTGTCCATTGGACACTTTAAAAGAGCAGAAGTGAAAGAACTTGCCCCAAAACGATACCCACAAAGTAAACAGATACTGACTGAAAAACAATATAATGTAAACAGTTATGTATCCTTACATACAATTCATAAGCAGTAGTTTAATTGAGACTGTTGTCTTAGCGATAAATCTGAAATCATTAAAATTTGGAAAACAAACATTCTGTTAATATATATTAACTATTTTGTGTTGTAGATGGCACCTTACTTGCAGTGGGATCCCATGACAACTTTATTTACCTCTACGTAGTAACAGAAAATGGAAGAAAGTATAGCAGATACGGAAAATGCACTGTAAGTTTTGGAGCAAATATAATCAGCAGTTCTTGCATTGTGATGTTATACATGAAGATGTTAGGCAATGGAACTCTTTCCAGGTTGATGCTTTTCCATTTTTAGTTTGGTTATAGGTTTTATGGTGTTTTTCCAGCATTTGATTGATTTTAAACTTCAGTCTGATGGGTACTGCTGAACACTTTTGCATCAAATACCTGCATCAAATACAACTAATCTCTAAGACTATTGACTTTTTCTTTGAAATGGGAGATTAGCAGTAAGATGGAGAAATGCCTTCTGTCTATATGCTGAAACCCTTTCGAGGAAAATATTACACTTGTTTGGAGGTATTTTCCCACATTGATAAAGTACTTCTTGGACCAACATAGCATTAGGTGGTGGAATTTCGTTAGAATATGTAACTTTGGAGATTTCAAATATGCACTATTTTCAGCTGTAATTTTTACTACAAAATTTGGAACTGGGGGATATATTAACAATAAATTTCTGGCACAGGGTAAATAAATATAAGTGTAGCATGAGTAGTGGCGTTTATATTAGTCCTTACATTTACATGAGGTTTTGCCAGTGCTAAAAAGACATACTTTTTTTTTTTTTCTTTAAGTGTTCAGTCATCTAAGATCCGTGTCTTAAGTTCAGCTGTCTCTGTATGTTAGTGGGAATATTTACATAAAGAACATCTGAACCTTAATGGGGTGTGCAAATGATATCATAAGAATAGGTTCATATTTGACATGTGAAATTTTTTTTTTAAGGAATGCATCCCCCGCTCAAAACATTTTTCATGTGGGGGGATCGTAAGGCTAAATTGTGTTTTGGGGTTGTTTTGGTTTGGTTTTGGTTTGGTTTTTTATGTCTAAAAGTTGGGGGGTTTTTTTATCATTAGTAGTAGTATTATTATTTTACTACAACCTTTGATGCAAGACTTGCAGTGGAAACTGTTGGGGGAAATGAACAGGCATTAGCCAGTCCTTTAGTGCCATGTAAGGTGTCTTTGAGAGATTTCTACCCATCATTTGGCTGAGGACACCCCGCACTGCTAGAGTGTGGGGGTCCAGAGCAGCCTGGGTCCAGCTGCTGCTGGGGCACAGGGCTGCCAGGGCGGTTGACAGCGGCAGGTTTGCTCCATCCCTGGGGTGTGCAGGCTGGCTGGGAGGGCTCAGTGCTGGCATGGGATGTGTCTGGGAGGGAAGGCTGTTGGGTATGCTGGAGGCTCCTCGATGGCAGGGTTGTGGTGCAGGGTGAGCCAGGGCATCCTGCAGCCCCTGAGCAGGGTGGTGGTGGGGTTAGCTGAGAGCAGAATGGTTGTGAGGTAAGAAATCAGGTCTGCAGCCTTCCTGGGGAGCTCAAGCAGAGGGGAAAGGACCAAGCCTACAGGAAAGTCAGACCAGAGGCCCAGTGGGGCTGGTGGGGATGGCAGGGGGCAGCTGCACCTCAGTACAGCAGTTCACCCCATCACTCATTTTTTAACCTTAAAAGATAAAATCACTCAGAGATGGCTGATTTTAACATATGTAATATTTAGCTTGCTTCGAGGTGTCTGTGAGCTCTTTGAAGATGTATGAGATAATTTATTTCTGTATATCGCATGTATTATGTATGAGGAGAGAGCATATTGTAATTTAAACCAGCATCTGTACGTCTGTCTGTCCATCTGCCTTGGCAGAAAAGAGGTTTGTAAAAATTGGGATGGGAGAAGTGAGCGTTGTTATACTCAGGCAGAAGCGTTAAGGCTTCAAAGCAGATTTCTGTTAACCTTTTTTTTTTTTTTTCAATTGGACTGCATGTAGAAGCCAAAATTAGCAACCTGGTTTCTGTCAGGGCTGAGCTCCCCTGACCCTTCCAGCTTGCGCAGAAGGCAGCAGCATGTTGGCTGACCAGAGCTAACACTGCCGATCAGGTTTCACAAGCCCTCTGCCTCCCCTCTGCTGCCTGCCAGCACGCTGGCAGGTCCATACCAGCTTGATGCTAAACAGGGAGACACCCAGGCATGCTCGGGACCCGGAGCGCTCTCCTGGCCGGTGCTCCGGTGCTGGCACTGCGTCCTTCTGGTCATCTTCTGTCATTCAGTAGCCTTGAGGGTGATCTCCAAGTAGTATGACTCAGTCCTCCTGGTAGGCAACTCTGGTTGTTTCTTCCAACTTGAATACGTTATTTGAATACTTTCAGAAGGATTTTATCTACTGAACCAGAATCAGCTCAAGCATAAGGGCTGTGTGCCCACTGTTACGTTTAAATCCCTTTTCAGTCACGACCAGGCTTTCTGCTGCTGGAGAGGCGAGTCTCTGACCTGTGAACGTGTTTCCACAGTGAGGGATGGTGTTGGTTGTGATCAGAAGGAATTTCAGATGAGCCGAAACAACCGTTTCGACTTGTGCAGCTGTTTTTTGAGGGCTTCAGCTATGCAGACAGCAATGTGAAGGTATGGGCTGGGTTATGAGCTTCCAGGGTGTCAGCAGCCCCAAGGTAGCTGGTGCTGTCTCTATTTGTCTCACATCAGAGGTACCTGTTAGTAAAAGAGAAGCAAGTGCCAAGAGGGCTGTGGGTGAAAGCCACAACAGGCAGCCACGCTGAAGTATTTGACACACTGGACTTAACCTGAAATAATTACTGTGACCATCCTGTAGGTTGTGGGTGTTTTGGACCTTGCAGCACTTAAGTCTGAAACAGAGAAACACTGCCAAAGAAGGAGAGGGTTTCCATTTAGTCAGATGGTTTTACTAGCCAGTGATAATGTGAGTCACTATGTTCATTGTATATAAAGGTACAGAAAAGGAAGGAGTAAGATGTTGCCTAATCAGTGGGCAGCTACCAAAGAAAGATTTTAATAGAAAATGGGATTGTCCTGTTGAAAATATTATGGCGATGTTATGTTCCAGTTCATCGGTCGGTGATCGCTTGCCTGAAGGGATTTTGCAGCATGGAGCCCCTTGGCCAATTCCTTTGTTCCCTCCCCCGCCGCCCCCAGGAATTTTAACAGCTGCCAAATGTCTGGCAGGATTTAGTAAATGACTGACCAATTCTTTTCCATGTTGGAGTTCGCTTGCAAGTTTGACGACTTGGAAAATAGGGGTGGGGGAGAAAAAATCCTAGCCAATCGTGCTTTTTTTTTTTTTTTTTTCCAAAATACCAAGTTTGCATGTCGATATCATATGTCCCACCCATGACTGCAAAGTAGTTATGTCAATACACAGTTCCTCCTCCACAGGCTAGTTCATAAGTAAATAAATCTTAAAGGTTAGCTTTTCTCCTAAATGTTTTTGCAGTCTCTCACAGAGGACCTGGGGACAGGGAGACAGACACAGGTGTATTTTTACATGTAATTCTGGAAGCAATCAGCATCTCTTGGAGTTCTCTGTGGAGGAAGCTGGCGTGGTGGGTGGCGCAGCAGCCAGTGCCGTGCTCCAGCACAGCCCCAGCGCAGTGGACGCAGGCTGGGCCAAGAGACCTTGCATGGGGGCCAAGAGATGCCATCTTCATAATGACCTCCAAGAGAGGGAGATGAATTGGCATCCGTCAGTCAAGAAAGTGGTGTATTGTTGCCTGGGACGGTGACTAGGAAGGGGAGAAAACTGATGGTCTTACAAGGGGAAGAGGAGCAGTAAAAAGAAATGGAAGGGTGGAAGATGAAAAGTGTGAAAAGGATGTCACTTTTATTAATTTCCTACCCTTTCCTCTACAGAGAAATAATTTATTCCTACTTTATACAAATTTGTGGCTCTTCTAGAGCCTTTCATAACTTTATTATTACTATTATTAATACCAACAAAAAGGTTCATGCACAGGAAAAGTATTGACAGCTGCATTTGTCTTTCCTCTCAAAACCAAAGATGGGTGTTTAGCCCTCAGTGTGCTCCTGGTGGTGATAACTAAGCAATTAAGGCAAAGTGGTTTGATTCTATACAGATGACCCTATGCCTATAGGGAAGACTCCTTTTGAAGCTGGCACTAACATGCATGCAGTATAAGAAGCACAGCAGAAACTTTCAAAAAGCTTACAAGGGTATTCTTGTAACACCAGTCCTTCATCTTGCAGTTAACCCAGGTATCCTAAGTTTTAGGATGAGTAAAAGTTATTTGAATGTGTGTGCCTTTGATGGAAGTCTTTTGAATGGACAGAGAAATAAAACAGAGACCCATCTGACACTTTTCTGATGGGATCTAACAATGATCCTGCGTAAGTTACTTGCCTTTCTCAATTAGTAGTAGTGTGTACTTTCTTAATTAAAGTACAAATGTGAGTTCATCTGTGTTTTAGCAATGTACCTTCCTGGAGTAAGTCATTCTGCGGTCCGAGCGGGGCGACACCATTTAGAAGTGAAGAATCCACCGTGCGGTGGGAGAGGCACGATGCCCAGGCTGTGTTTGTTTAGCTGTTAGCGAGTGTGGCGCCGGGAGTAAGGAGCCTTTAAAGGAGCACAAGTGAAATGCAGCAGACCTGGGGTGGGTGGGGAGGTGCTTTTTTGCTGTTAGCTGTCCCATCTGTGGGTGCAGCTTCTGCTTCTGTTTGAATTAAGATACGAGTTTCACATTGGTGTTACTGCCTTCTTCTCCAGGGACATTCCAGCTATATTACACACCTTGACTGGTCCCCGGACAACAAGTATATAATGTCAAACTCAGGAGACTATGAAATATTATACTGTAAGTATGAAATGAAATACACGGGAAACAGAAGTATGTATTAGCTGTCAGAATATTTAGAAGAGTGTGTTTGATCAGGACTGTACAAAGTGCTTACTGACAAAAGAACCAATTTGAACTTGTGTAACCTGATATCTTGATGTTATTCAGAACTGTGTGTTACCTAATGGCAATGCCAAATATAGCTTACTTCTTTACAAGGTCATAAATCAGTTTAACAGCATAGAATTTACAGAACAAGTGGCACTACGTTTCAATGTTGGCCCAAAGTTCTGTAGATTGAAAATAATATATACAGTTGTCTAATTAGTGTCAACAGTATCAGTTATTTTGGGGGAATAAAACCAGTGGGTCTGTGCCTCTGTTCTGGGATTCCTTTTTTTTTAAAAACACTTTATCATGGCTGGTGGTGCTGAAAACTAAGCAGAGAAACACTACTACTTTAATGAGCTAGTGGTAATAATGTTTTTGTGTTTGTCTTTTTTTAATATGTGAAAATACAAATTTAATATATAGTGGTTACGTCGAAAGTCCAACTTGCATAGTGCATATCAGTCTGTTTGTAAATTGGTTTTTGTATTCTTGTCTTCCCGTGGCTTTAACAAGATCCAAGAGGATTGGAGTTCTGTTCCTGTACAGGCAAGAAGAGCCATCAGTTTAAATATCTGTCACCTTGACATGTTCATTCTGCCTGTCACAACTTAGGTTTCAAATCTGGATAGTGCAGTATCTCAATCTACCAAAAGGACATGTTGGTGTTTATAATTGCCTGTATAGGGAAGCAAAGAGCTGTGACCCATTAGTACCGGGCTGGTGTATTGAAAGATGGGCACTCTTTTGGGAAACAATCTTTCCTTTCATAGTTAGAAGTTGAAAAGCAGTCTAAGGCTGCTCTGGCAGTAGTTTCTCACTGTTTTAAAAGCAGAGCTTCCTGAATGATTGATTGAAATGTAGCACATGAATGGAGCTGGTAGGAGGGAGAAATTATTCTATTACAGGATCTATTAAAGCATTTTTTAGAGTAGGTAGCAGGGGACCCAAGCTGCAGGGAAGTGTTTTCGAGGTACGCTGATCTGAAGAAGGAAATGAGAAGTAAACGTGACTCTTAAATACCAAGCAAAACTTCAAGTGTCTGGAGTTTTATAAAGGTACTGGTCTGTCCTTGCCTCTACAGTGTGATTCCAGATTGGTTTTGAGATACGTTTATTTACCATGTTAGCACCTTCAAAGAGCACATATGTAGATAGAAAATTATATGGCATAAGTCATTATTCACTTTTTTTGCAGGGGACATTCCAAGTGGCTGTAAGCTAATCAGGAATCGTTCTGACTGTAAGGATATAGATTGGACGACATACACTTGTGTGCTAGGCTTCCAGGTGTTTGGTAAGCACCATTTATCTTGCTTTTAAGTTATTCACGCTGTGCTTTTGTGTTTTCTTTTGCTTCAATTTGTCATTGGACATACGCTGTTGATGATTATCGAGCATGGCGCTGAGATGGCAGACCAAAGAGACTGACCACAATACTCATCTGTGATACAGAGCACTGGATGCTCTATAGACAATGTATAATCAATTTCTATTTAGTCTTGAAGTCTGGGATTTGATTTTTCTGCTGTCATCTTAGGCTACCAATTTTGGAGGCACTGAAGCAAAATGCTGATATTTCAAAGTGCTCATACGTACATGTGCATTCTCCTTCGCTTACCTTGGGTTTGGTGTAAGAACAAGATCATATGAGTGTAGGTTATAGTTCACGACTTAAAATCATGACAGCACTTTGATACCTGTAGTCAAAGGTGAGTAATATACACTGCTTCCAAAGAGTAAAAATGCTTTAAATAGATTCTTTATGTTGTAGTTTATTTTTTAAATGTACAAAAATTTTACAAAGCTGACAGATCTGATTTTAATAGTGCATTATGAGACTGTGGCCAAACAATTCAAGCTGCTTTTGCTAAAGGCAGCTCTGTTGACCATAAATGAGGCACCCCTCTGTGAGGGGCTGAAAAGTAGGGTTCAGCCTGTCAATGTTGTAAAACCAAGTTGTGTGAGCAGGATACTGAATGCCTTGCTTCCACCGCTGAGATCAGATAGATGCCTCTGTTCTTCATGCTGGAAACATCAAAAGCAGGTAACTCAGTAAATTCTCTAGAGGTGAGGGTTAGGTCTACAAATCTTTTCCTCACAGCTTTGAATATTAGTTTATATGCAGGGTAGAAGAAAATCAGTTAAGTCTGATTTGCTTTCTGTAGCTTCTGACACCTATCATGCATATTTTAGAACTGTCATGTGCTTAATGAGCAAGCAGCCTTAAAGGATTGCAGTTGATCTGTGGGCTAACACTGATGCTCTTGTGTGACATATTGGCTAGGTGGAGGGCATTTGGTGCTTTATAACCAGGCTTTATTTCCTTTCTGGATACCAAAGATCTGAGACAGAGCAGGGAAAATAAAGGGGTCAGAGAAGGAAGCTGACTGGTTGATAAACTGCATAAATATTTTTGAGTTGTTTGGAGCTAGGTAGCAGAAATAAATGGGAGTGTGCTGTTTCTGGAGCTGAATGCTGTTGCTTATTGCTAGTTTGATGAAAATATTGGCTCCCATTAGCCTGAGAACTGTGAACCAGGTTGTGTACGTGTTTGTTTTTATTCAGTCTGCATGAAGTAGAGAGTGGATGGCTGTTTCCTCCTGATGCTCTGTGCCTGTAAGCATAGGCTGGCAAGGAATTGGTCCACAGCAGTCGTTTCCTCACTGTCTTTGCTACTGCGACTGACAAGATTTTTTTTTTTTAAATGGAGCATCAGAAGATTCAGGCTAGGCTGGCAAGGAATTGGTCCACGGCAGTCATTTCCTCACTGTCTTTGCTACTGCGACTGACAGGATTTTTTTTTTAAATGGAGCATCAGAAGATTCAGGAGACACTGGAGAAAAGTGAAAAGCAAAACTCCCTCCTTGACACTAATATGACCTCTTTCTCCAGGAGCAATGAAAACACTTTGTAAGGGCTGAATATTCCTTCTGGAATAGCCTTGGACCTGAAGCCATTTTACATTTCATGCAGAGTACTTAAATCTACCAGAAATGTGGAGGTAGCTATGAGTGGCTCCGTTGCTACTGAACTTTTACCACTATGTTTGGTGGTAGAGCAGACAGAATAAGGGGAGCAGCTCTCTGTATCCCATTGCTTTCCCAGAAGTGTCCTTTACTCCTGGCCTAAGGAGATGAGGTGTGGGAATGCAGAAAGAGCTTGGTTTCACATCTAGACCATTGGCTTTGTCTCTCTAACAGGTGTTGGATAGAAGCTACTGGTGACTGGGGCCAGACTGGAGATGAGCAGCTCCCACAACCACAGTTTTGAGAAGCCTTTTTAGGTTTTGTTTTTAAAAAGTGGATAGGTTTGCTGATCCTGTCTGCATTCCCTTTTGGATTAATACAAACTTTAACCACTTCGGATTAAGTTTAATTAGTCTGAACTGCTCTCAAAATCTTCAGTGTGCCAGAGGACCTGGGAGTGAAGTAGATAAAGCAGATATTGTGATGTTATTCTAGGGCAGAACAGAATATATTTAAACTTCGTAGCCAAGAATCATCGTGCTTTAATTTTATATTGTCTGGTAGTCTGACACCCTTTGCAGAATCTTAAAATTATGGCTTGGTCTCAGACAAAGGCAAGTACTTTCCCATTAAATCAGACAGTGCAGCTAAGCCAAACTAGCAGATATTTGCTGCTCAAAGGAGAAGTCTGGCTTTGACCCGAGGGTCAGCTGGCTCAGGGATCCAAACAAGCTGGGGGCTGCTCACTTTGATGTTCAGGAAAGAGGGTTAAGTTTATGGGATTTTGGCTTTTGGGGTATGTGTTTTACTAATTTAGCTCTGTGGATAGTGTGTCCGTAGGCTCAGGCATTGCTCTGTTGTCAGCAGAAGAAAGAGGATGGAAATGCATGGTTTGGATGAGAATAGCATCGCTCCTTTTTGGCAGTTGATATTACTGTATTGGCTCAGCAGTATCATCAGTCTGCACCCCAAGCACTTGAAGTCACTCTCGTTTACTGCACATTTCCCACACTTTAGTCTGACCAGATTCTTTTGAGAGGTTTACTGCTGGTTAGCAGAATTTATTAAAGTTGAAGTGCTGCTGTCGTACCTAATAACCAACTCCTATTATTTTTTATTTTTTGTTATGCTTACAGTTAAGGAGTAAGAACTTCGTCATATTAATGTCTTGCTTTTTCCACGTTTGCCTGATGCATTGAAAGCAAATCCTGCCGTCTTATGACAAAGGGCCGTCTTACCTTTAGAGCTGCTAAAGGAATTTGTGAACACAAAAGACGTTTAACAAGGGATGCAATCTTGAATGTTAGCCTTTTTAATCTTAAAAAGAAGAGGAAATAGCATAGCTGTTTGGCACAGCCTGCCTAAGGTGGTGGCTGAAACTTCAGGAAACTGATTTGAAGTTCATTTATTACTCCCACCTGATGACAGTATTTTATATATAGAATGCAGGAGAAAGTTAAAATTCATTCATTTTGAGCTACTTGAAAATTTTTAAATAGTATATATTTTTCAGATTGATTTCATTGATGCGAGAGCAGTAAAATGTTTCTGAATACTTTCCTTAGCATTTCATGTCTTTATTTAGTAAATTATCTACAATGTAGCTTTATCAGCACTGTAGCAAGCTTAACAAGCTACCTTTGTTGTTATTCTGAGGAAATAAAGTTCTTGCTCCACCCACTGAAGAATGGAAATAAACAACTTTAAAGTTAAATGCTGTTTGCCATTTTGCTTGAAATCAAGAAGAGATAGTGTGGAGTTTGAAAAAGATAAGGCATTCTAAGTCCGCATTTTGTGCTGTATAAAACAGTAGGCAGCACATGGGTTTTATTTTACCAGAGTCAGTGACTGTAAGGGAGAAAGAAGATATTTTCATATCTGATAATGGACATCCCTCTCAGTCAATTGGACACACAGTTTTTCGGGGTAGGAGCTGAAATTTGAGGGGGGGAATTCCTCCTAACTCCTGAACTAATCAGAAACCCAAGTCTGAGCTGTAAAAATATGATACCTTCGGCATAAATTAGTATCTTATAACCCCTTGCTTACCTTTTGTTCAGCTTTTTTTGCAGATGTGAGTCATCAGTTTAGTTATGGGAATCTCTAGGGTCTTTATTTTTTTGTTTAAACTTGGAGCCTCCCCCCTCCCCAGTTTGTTCAGTGCTTTTCATCCAGGCAATGTTGTTATTCTTTTGTCTAGACATATCCATGTCATTCTTTTCACTTAAAAGCATATTGAATTGTACTTAAGCACTTGACAGCACTTACATCTATGAAACTCATACTGGCTGGGTTTCTGTGCAAAGTATCATCAATCAGTTGTCTCTTTTTAATTATGCAAATACTAAAAATTGCTCCAGATTTAGCATAAAACCCAGAGAAATCTCTGCATAATGTACGGTACCTGGGTTTGTTCTATGCTTCAGCATCAGTTTTGCTTTTAAAATGTTTGTGCATGAATGAAAGTGTTAAATTAAGAGTCACCAGTTTTAGCAGCAAACTTAAGATAAGCTTTAAACAAAACTGAGGTTTTGAACAGGAAACGTATCAAGCCCAAGAGGTTATCCTGGGCTGAGGTTGAGGGTTTGGGGTGGCAGGGGGTTGGGGAGCAGCATTAGACTAGCAAAATATTAGTGACATTTAATGAAATGCGTATTCCGTTATTCCAAGGTCTTACCTTTTGCTAAGCTTGCCTTTTCTCACAGCTTTATAGAATTTATTTTTGTTTATGGATTGTCTTTTAATTTGTTTCTAAAACTACCATCGCTAAATATCTGCTCTGCTGTCTCCTAGGAGTTTGGCCCGAAGGATCAGATGGGACAGACATAAATGCCCTCGTCAGATCCCATAACCGAAAAGTGATAGCAGTTGCTGATGATTTTTGTAAGGTCCATCTCTTTCAGTATCCCTGTTCCAAGCCAAAGGTAAGTCTAGACCAGTCTAGTCTACTGTGCTTGTTTGCATTGCATGAAGCTTTCCTTGCCAGACACCTGCTTCCAGCTCAGTCATTTTGGAACCTGGCAGCCAAATAGCTCATTTATATCTGAGAACAGTGCTAGAGACAAAAGCATGGTTTTCCCCATTAAGTTTATGTATATAAAAAATAGAAAATATAAAATAACATAAAATATAAAATTTTATACCTAAAAGTGAAGTGGCAGTAGTTATCCTTAAGTTCCGGAGCAGAGGCTTGATGCTTTCTGTTGGCTGGTCTTGGTGTTAAGTCCATTACTTTTTACATAAAGATCTAAATCTGTCCCGAGTTACAAGACTTAAGAAGAGAGCATGTATTGTGGGGGAAACCTAATACAAATATAAGTCTTCAGTCTTATGTGAATGAAGAGCTCTCTTGAAGGGCTAAGCAGAATCAGTAGTAGTTTTAGATTTTGGTATTGTGCTCCTCTAGTCAAGCATGTGGTTTATATTTCTGCTTGTTTTCGATAGGCTCCAAGTCACAAATACAGCGCTCACAGTAGTCATGTGACAAATGTCAGCTTCACCCATAGCGATGGTCACTTGATTTCAACTGGAGGGAAAGACACGAGTATTATTCAATGGAAACTTGTGGAGAAGGTAACTGTACCACAAAATGACATTGTCGTAGACATTGGTGCAACCAAAGTGCCCATCCCCGCCAGTGAAAATGCTGTACCGTCTCCTGCACCTCTCCCACAGCCTTTTAATGAAATGAACCAAAATGAAAGCATAACTGGCAGCTCTCCGGCTTCTTTGGAGAGCAACCTGGAGCAGTCTGCGGAGGCCAGCGAAGAGCAAAGCGAGGAGCAAAGCGAGGGCAGCAGCCTGGATCCCGCCGAGCCAGGCTACGAGGAGCCCTCCAATGAGACAAGCGAGGAGCACAGCGAATCCACGGTCACTGAAGAGCAGCAAGACAACTCACCAGTGTCTTAATGCTCCCAGCTCAGGCAGTTGTTATTTTCCCTTGGTGTGCGTGCTTTCATTACAGGGTGAGGGTTCAAATAGGGAAAAGTAGCTGAGATTCATGACCACTCCAGCTTTTGAGTTTCAGTGAGATTTTTAGTCTGAGCTTCAGTTCAATGCGTGGAACCATCCCAAGGGCATGTCTTGATGGTCTGTGTCAAGATCTGGTCACAGTTAGTAGTGGACATTACCACAGATCCATTTTGGTTCTGAAATTGCAGTCAGGATGTGGCATGAAATATATACTGGAAAAATGATTAGCTCTGAGAACTAGCTGAAGTAGACCACCTTATCTGTGTGAAAGTGCTTTCTGAAAGAAAGAAGCTGATGGGAAGCGCTGAGCTGTTCCAGCTGGGGAGTACTGTGCTGCTTTTTCCAGGTGCAAAGACAAACAAAACAAAAAAACAACCAAAAAAGGTCTTTGTAGGGCTGTTTTCCTTTGTTTTTTCTTGATGAGAAAAATAGAGGAAAAACAATGTAATGATGCCACATGTATGGCGATGCCTTCTTGATCTAACACATATGCAATTTTCTAACACTACTAATTCCTAGTGGAGTCTGGACGTGCTTGCAGTTGGTCTGCCCTGGGTGCTGCTAGTTCTAAGGCAAATCCTGTCGAAGAACAGTGTTGGCTGTTCCATTTTCACAGACTATTTAATAACAGACTAACCAAATACTGGCGTGTTTCACTTTTCATGACCTGAAAGTTGATTTGAACTGTAGGACGTAATTGTCTCTTCAAAGAATTGATTGCCTAGAGAGTTTGAAACTTAAGAGAGTCTTTACAGTGACTTTGATGTGAACAGCAGAGGAAGCGTGGCAAGAATGCAGAAGTCAGATGGGCTCCAGAGTTAAACTTTAAGCCTTCAAGCAGAACTTGCTCCATCCCTAGTAGGAGAAATATAAATACAGTTAACTTAAATTATTAAATTGGTGCTTAGGATTAGTATATTAAGTTGATAATTTTTCTTCTGCTGAATTTGTAGAGGTAATCGTAAGAATCATTAAACTGCAATTTTTTTTTCCCCAGCTCCTTTAGCAGTTGTGATATAAGCATACAGTAATTTAGATGATGATGTGATTTCCTCCCCCCTCCGCCTCCCACCCCCGACTTGCTGATCTATTATTTCTGTGATGTTTGTTTCCGCCCCACCCCTCCCCGGGTTGCTCTAAGCCATGCAGCTCTCATGTGGCTATACCTGGCCAGTTACGGGATATCTTGGCATTTGTTATGCATTTGGAAAGTACTTTTTTTACGAAGTTTGTCAGATAGCTACATTTTTTTTCTTAAGTGCATACATTTCCTACTTTAAAAAGATACAGATTTACTGACAGATATCCATTTCCTATGTACTTGTTTATATTTTGATTACATAAAATTTTCTTTTTTAACTTGCTGCATTGTGCTGGTATTTTAGTTCTTAGTTAGAATATCGTGTTTAGAAACTTTGGATGAGTTCATAAGTCTTAATTGTGCAAGCGTTTACGTGATTGTGCCATTCCAAAGTGCATCAAAACTGTCATTCCCTTACTAGTATCTTCTCAGGAGAAATGCTACAGATCAGGTATTTAGTCATCATTTGGAAAGATAAAAACAAATGGACTCCCAAAGGACATTTAGAACATTTATATAAAAAATATATAAATATATATATACACACATATATAGAGATAAAAAATATCCTCTTGTTTACAACAGTTCCAGAAAACCTCAAAGTAGTTCCCTTCAGATGGAGGGAGATACGGATTCCAAGCAACCCATCTGTTTAAACTGTGCTCTGTACATAGGGTTTTGCTGGAGAGCTCTGCTATGCCTGACTTGCAAATTTGCCAAATAGCAGCAATGGAAGACAAAGGTCAACTCATCAAAGTACTTGGTTCCAAATGAGGAATATGCTGTAGGTTTAGAAAATAATCTTGGTAAAGGAGAAAGGATTTTAGAGCTAAGGAGGCACAGAGCACTCTGTCATTTTTGTGAACTCCACGTAAGCAACGCATTTCTTTTTGGAACATCTGCCACTGGGGTTGCCATGTAAAGTGAGAGTTATAGTTGTGATATTCTTGTGTTTGTAGTTCAGAAGACTCTACTAATATGCAAAAAGCCTTACAGCTTTCAATTGCTGGCAACTACTGTTTAACAAATAATTAAATCTGTGATAATGGATGGAAATGGGTGGGATTATGTAACTGTAGATGTTTTAGAAAAATAATTGTGAATGAATTATGATTAAGAATGTTTCATGTGAAGATGTTTGAGCCATTTCTATCTATCTTGCATTCCTGTCTCAAGGCAGAAAATTTTGAAGATTAAAAAAAAAAAAATAAAATAATCAAAATAATGTATTGCAGTGTCTTTCTCCACGTCTGTTCTGGTTCCTTGTGTAGGCAAAGTGGATGCTGTGATCGCAGCTGCAGTGTCTGGGTCTATGGTTTTGGAAGAACCTTTCTAACTTGTGCTTTTTTGATAACCTCCCAGACTGCCGAAAAATAAGTGAATTCAACATCACAAATAATGCTGGCACTCCTAAATATCAATCTGGTTTACTTTTTGAAAGTTTTCTGATGTTTCCCTTTTCCATTTCTGATCGATAGCCTACTAGCATTGCCCCACTGTAGTTAACTGATGGGCAGCAGGGGATTACAGATAGGTATTTGTCCTGGTGCAAGGTACAGCCTGCCTTCTGGGGTTCCACCAGAAGCTTTCTTCTGGAAGTCAAGCGAAAAGTACAAGCTTATTTTGGATAGAACGTGTTAAATACCACAGTGCTTCCACATTCCCGATAGTCTCTGTCCAATTGCAGATGCAGAAGGTCACAATATGCTTAATATATTCCTTGTGCAAGATTCTCAGTCTTTTAAAAGGCTTTGAATCATCTCCATTTCTTGCAGCTGGTTCCTGTCCTTCACAAAAGGGGAGGGTGGGGTAGAGAAGAAAGAAACCTCCGAGGCAGACAAATACCTCATGTTTATCCTCGCTTAAAGGAAAACCAAACAAACAAACATCACTGCCACCCTCTGAGTTTGACTGGAAACCTCAAAGACTCCTCTTTTCCACCAAATTATCAGGAGAACGCTGTTGTTCTAACTTGAGCCACAAGCAGATGTCCTGGTTGGTCGTGCTGCGCTGTTGCCAGCGCACCTGCAAGGTCAGGTACCGCTTTGCACTGGGGGCGGCTCTGCAGCGGTGTGTGCTCTTCTGGGCTCCAAATTCAGCTCTTCCTCTCCAAATTCAGCATGAGGCTTTTGCTACCTCTTCCCCTGGGATGTTCCGCAAGGCAGGAGTCTTCCTGAAGAGCAGGTAAGCCAGTCTTCTGTGGGCCTCCCTCATGGTGGAGGCAGGGTAGGGCCCCAAGTGCCCCCTCTTATTTGGGACAGCAGCATCTGCCACCACCTTAAGCAGCTGCAGCAATGGTATTTGTCACGTGGAGCTGAAGTTCAGGGTGGAAGCTCCACTTGAAGGCCTAAAACCGTAACGACGTCCCATTTTACATCATTGAAACTTTAAATTCAAATTCTTCTTTAAAACATCTAGCTTGCATAGTAAAATACTTGAATGTTAGGAAATAAGAAGCTTATGGATTCTTGCACTACGTGCCCATATTGGGTGTGTGTCATGCAAAGTGAGATTAGTTGGGTTTCACACATGAAGGGCACTTTTCTGGATATGACCAAAAACTTTTGAGTTTCCCTCCTCCCCCTACAAGTTCCAGGGTAGGTGACAAAGAGGCTGGAGGTGTGGATGGGTAATGATGCACCAAGCATTTCTTAGGTTTCCTCTAACTAATTCTCATTATAAATAACACATACTAGTTTTTGCACATGATACATGTCGAGTTCCAGCCTCTTTTTGTTTTTTTTATCATCCCTGGAATGCACAGATTCTGGCTTTGTCTCTGAAAATAAGGCAAAATTTAAATCTTGATTGTTACATTGATTACAGTCTACGCTGCACCGTATGTTGTATTTTCTACTTTGTGCTTCACCCCGTAAGATGCGTTACACCCCCTTCGGTGCAGGATTTCAACTGAATCAGGATAAAAATAAGTAGAAGGTCCTTGTGAAACTTAAGCTTGGCCAGAACCAAGCAAAAAATTCTCCTTTCTGCTGCCTGGTGTCAATAAAATGTTGGTTCCTGGCGATGAAAGGATTAATATTACATGAGATGGATTTTATTTGCGCGATATTTGTGCTGCTTGTTTGCTTTCCTTCCGAGCAAGTCCGAGCCCATTGCCTAATCTTTATTCTGACAGATGTTCTATGTACTAATACTTTAATCAACTGAGAATGAAAAACTGCTTACAGTAGGATTATACAGTTTGGAAGACTGGGCAGTGTACACATTTTAATGTACGTGGTATCTCTGTGTGCATACATGTATACAAGCATCAAACAGATATGGCTGCTCAAGGCCATTTTTTTATTTGTTTGTTTGAAAGAGAAACATGGATGACTTCATGCTGCAGCAAATTAAGAAGGTTTAGGAGCAGTGGGGAAAAAAGGCGTCCCCGGCAGGGCGAGAGGACTGGTTTCAGGCAGGAGGACTGGAAGAGGAGGCACAGCGGTGGGACGGTGGCTGTACCAGAGCTGCGTTTCCTGGGTAGGGTCCCTGGTACCCTTCTGTGCCGGTCTGGCTGTCCCCCTCCCTCGGGATGGGCTAAGCAGAAGCTCCTGACACATCCTCTAAAGGTTCGAGTTTCCTAAGAGGTATTTAATGAACACAAGATGTTTCCAGATAAATTAAAAGACCCTTCAGAGGTCTGCTGGCGTCATTAAACTTGCTCGGTTACCTTAAACGGAGCATAGGCCTTGGATACCTCTTTATAAAAGAGAGAAAAACTTAAAATTGGGAAGCTCGGCTGCCTCCTGGTGTGGCTGGGTGTGTTACAGGGGCGCTGGGGTGGGTAGGAGGGATGAAATGCCCGGTTGAGGAGAAATTCCAGAGGATGGATTCTTGTTGCCTTTGAAAAAGGAAGGAAAAAATCAAACAAAACCAAAAGCCTCCTGGTACTGTACTTAAGGCACTGTGTCAGAATGACTGAAATGATTGTAAGGAAAGAAGGGAACATTATCACTGGATAATTAAAAAAAAAAAAAATTTAACTCATTTCCCCCTCATTTCATGTTACATTTTGTCTGTATGGTAAAACCTACAGGAGCTTTCACTTCTTCTGTTAGAAGGACTGCGTGGTTACAGGGTGGTTTTGGGAAACAGCAAGTTCATGGAGATTTCAGCAAGGTTTTATTTTTAATAAGCAATTCTAGAAAACTAGTTTTCTTCCACAAAATTCTACTAAGAAACCGAAATCTGGAAAGAGTCTATCTCTTCAAGGGATACGTGTGTCCTTGCGATTTAAGTGGTGGGTTTTACAGCCCAGTGTCCCCTCCAGAAGGGGACCTCTGGGCCCTTCCCAGCTCTCACCAGGCAAGTAATGTCCGCGCCGTCAGCAAGGTCCATGCCTCGTGAGCAGCCTCTGCTGCGTACCCCTCTGTAGGTCACGGTATTTTGCTCTCCGGTAACCACCACGCTTTGTTCGTTCTTTGGGAGTGCTATAAAAACCACTTTCCATAAATTCTGAAAGACTGTCTGAATTATAGTCAGTTATACTGTCCCAGCTTTATTTTTTGATAAAGCACCTTTAAGTTGCTATTTCTAGAACATGCTTTTGTATGGTGAGCCAAGTAAGTGCTCCAGATCGCTCATGAGATACTGTATTCCCTATGGCAGGATGTTTCAGCAATTCGATGTTCCTGTCATGCATCGCTTGTTTCGCAAGCTGACCTTGCTCTGAATCCTCCCTGTCGTGCAGCCCGCTCTTCGTCCTGTGGACATCACTGCCCTCCCAGGCTAAAAGCAAGAGGTGACATTTGCTTTTAATGCTGCTTCACAATTTATTTCACCTTCCTTTAAATACACTGTCTTGTCATTCCAGTTAGTGTCTGCGTGTATGTCTGTCCCCATTTTCCCCTCCCGCAGCTCTCAGAGATCAGTCCTTGCACTGGCAATGATTCTTCCTTTTAGCCTCTCTTAAGTCCATTCACGCTTTCCTATGCACCTGTAACTACATAGAGGAAAATCATAGAGAAGGAAAATCGTAAGCGGTCTGCATCAGATGAGCAATAGAGCGTCAAAAGCTATCCAGTATATGAGTACAAAAATGCCTAGTATTTTGTATTATATAAATGAGCGTCTCTGGTGGTGTGTGATTACTGGCAGTAGAATTGGGAACTTAAAAAACTATGTCCTAGGTAAAAGGAACTTGGAACAACCTTGGTGCGATTGCTACATCAGATTGCTCACCTCATTGCTCAGGAAAACAAAACAAAACCCAAAAAACCTCCCAACAGCTAAAGCCTTTGGCTTTAGCAAGGCAGACAAAAGAAAGTTTTCAACGTGACAGCAAAAGAAGAGCGACGTGGTGGTGTGCGTACAGAGGAGGTAGCTGTACGCCAAACTTGCTCTCGCTGTGTTTCTTCTGGTCCAGAGGTGGGTATAAGCTGCGCCCCTGCTGTGGGTGGGTGCTCCCTCTTCTAGTGAAGCTGCAGATTCTACCATAAGCAGAATTTCAGTCGAAAACCTTGTTTTCAGCATTGCATTGGTTAGAATTTTTTCTTTGAGAATGGGACAACGCAGAATTATGACCAGAGAGAGCAGTCTACATCTTGTCCATACACAGGCATCCAACATTGCTATGGCAAACCAAAGATTTGTCATCCATGTTTAACATGAAGTGGCTGTAGCATACACCGGGGCCCTTGAAAGGATCCCATTTGGCCCAAGTTTGGCAAATGTAAAATTAAACGTCAGTTGAGCCTGTGATGCTAGGTTTCTTACGTCAAAAGTTTTGCAATGCATTTTTTAGATCGATTCGCAACTCAGGAGATATGCAACCCTGTGGATTTTCTGCCAGCCGGGAGGGAAACAGATGTGAAGCATTTTGAACTTTCAAAAAAGCATACCTAGGAGGGATTTTTCAGGACAGATGTCCATTCCACCCTTTGCCAGGACCATATGGAATTGCTTACATTGTATTTGGTCTGTGTATGTACACATTAAGTTCTGCTTGTATTGGAGTATCTTGGATTAGACTCAATAATTCTCTAAAAAAAAAAAAAAACAAAAAAAAAACCCCAAGGAAT